AAAATCGAAAAATTATAAAATTTGAAAAACCGAAAAATTGCAAATCGAAAAATTGAAGAAATGAAAAATTGAAGATTCGAAAGATTGAAGAATTGAAAATTTGAAAAATTAAAATTTTGGAACTCTTGAAATTGCAATCCGAAAAATTTCAAACTCTAAAAATCTAAACGTTAGAAAACTGAGAAAATTTAAATTAAATTACAAAAAATTAGAGATGTACCGACTAGTGTCGGCCGACTAGTCGGCTTTATCAAAACCGGTTAAAATTGGTTTAATCGAAGATTGGTGTCAAAGTGTAGATAATCTTCCGAAAAATTGAAGAATCCCAGAAAAACAAAAAATTATAAAGTCGGAACAATGAAAAATTGAAAATTTGTAAAAATAAAGAAAATAAAAAGCAATGTCAAATTTCAAGAAATGAAAAATTAAAAAAATCAAGAAATTGAAGCAACAAAAAATGAAAGCTTGAAAAATCGCAAATCGAAAAACTGAAAATTAAAATTGAAAAAACAAAAAATTATACAATGAGGACATTGAAAAAGAGAAAGACTTTAAAAATTAAGGAAATAAAAAACCGAAAGAAAAAATGAAAAAAGAATTACAAAATCCAAAAATTTTTTTATATGGAGAAAAAAAAATCAGAACATTGAAAATCCGGAAAATTAAAAAAATTTAAAAAAGCCAAAAAACGAAACGTAAAATCGAAAAATTGAAAATTCGTCAAATTGCAAATCGAAAAATTGCGAAAGCTAAAAATTAAAACGTTCAAAACTTAGGAAATCGAATAATCCAAAAATTTAAATATCAAAAAAAAATCAAGAAAAATAAAGGAAAGAGTGAAAAATCGCAAATCAAAAAATTGCAGAAACGAAAAATATTGAAAAATTGCAAATCGAAAAACTTAAGGAACGAAAACTGAAAAAAGGAAAAATTAAAAAATCCAAAAGTTGAAAAATCGAAAAATTAAAAAATCCAAAAAATAAAAAAATTAAGAAAACAAAAAACCGAAACGGAAAACTGTAAACTCAAAAACTGAAGAAATGAGAAACTGAGAAACGAAAAATTGAAAATTTTAACATCCAAAAGTTGGGAAATCGAAAAACTGGAAAATTTTAAAATGGAAACTCAAGGAGTTGAATGTAAAATTGAAGAAAACAAAGAAACGAATAGGTGAAAAATTTGCAAATCGGAAAATTGGCAAATTAAAAATTGCAAACTCTAAAAATGTATTGAAACATTTGAAAAAATCAAAAACTGAAAAATTTCACTTTGACGGAAACAAAAATTATAAAAATTGGAACATTGAAAAACCGAAAAATTGTAAAAATAAGAAAAATAAAAAATAGCAATGATAAATTTGAAGAAATGGAGAATTGAAAATTCGAAAAATCGAAAACTGGAGAAATTTTACTGTGAAAAATTGTAAAATCAAAAAATTTAACCAACAAAAAACGAAAATTTGAATAATCGCCAATCGAAAACTGAAGAAACGAAAAAATGAAATTTAAAACTGAAAAAACAAAAAAAATGTAAAATCGAAAAATTGAAAATGGAATATTTGGAAAAAGATTGAAGTGAGTTGAGTTGAGTTGAGTTGAATTGAATTGAACTTTATTCTAACTCAGATACATTTCATTAGAGTCCACATTAATTAAAACATTTTAAGATAAATCTATACTTATATAATAAAGCTGAAACTGTTGTTTATTTGAACACGCTAATCTCAGAAACGACTGGTTCAAATTCAAAAAATCTTTTTGTGTTGGATAGTCCATGTATCATATCTACATATAGGCTATATAAAATCACGCTACGATCATTAGGAGCGAAGTAGCAATGAAAAATTCGGAAAAACGGGAAAATTATTCCTCCTTTGACAGCTTGCGTTGCTTACGCTGCTTAAACGGTTAAAGTTACGTAAAAATCATGTATGACGAAATTGTTCCCCTCTAAAAGTTCTAAAGAAAAGTCCGCGACAGCATATGTCTATCTTTTAAGGTCGAGTCAGTATAACCTTTTTTATGGTAATGAAATTTGTTCTAAAATAATAATGCATTATGTATAAAATTCTCGCGTCACAATGTTTGTAACCGAACTTCTCCGAAATGGGTAAACCGATTTGTATGAAATTTTTTGTGTCTATTCGGTAGGTCTGACAATACGTTGTAAACTATTTTTTAAACCCCTAAGTGATAAGGGTGGCCCACCCTAAAAAATTTTTGTCTATTTTTTGGACAAAATTTTTTATTTTTATTTTTTTAAGAATTGGCATCAAAAAATACACATAACCCTAAATTTTCACCTTTCTACCACCAACCCCCATTTTTTAATCGTCTATATAATAAAAATCAATTGCTGTTCCTGTTAGTCTCGCTAAGACTCAAAAACGGCTTGACCGATTTGAAGAATTTTTTATATTACGGAGATGGTTTATAAATAAACAAAAATAAGGAAAACTTAAAAGAACAGTTAAAAAATAAAAAAATTCTAAAAATTTTGTATGGGAATCGCCACTTCGAATTAATTTCAATAGTTGGCGTTTCTGACGGACCTGTCGTCTTACTGACGTGTCATACAAAACTAATTCTTCCGTGCAATTGTGAAAAGTATATTGCATTTCAAATCGTTCATTGTTTTTCGTAAAAAAAAAACGTCGTTTATTTTAAGAAAAGTCTTGGTTAAAGTGAATTTAATTACACATTGCGAAAGTTTGTTATTAATTTTGATCTGCCATTCTATTTACCTATATTCACTTTGTTGGTTTCGACAAAACCTCAAACTTTACCGTTATTCGAGGATTTAATTTGAAGTTTTCAATATTTTAAAATTCTCAAGACAAAATTTACAGATTTGATTGACTGTGAAAATAATTCTGTGTCGTTTTATGAAGTTCATTAAAATGCCGAGAAGACGACAACCTCACATAGGTCCACGAAGTCAATCAAATGTGCGACGAACTACCTCAGGTGCAAACCGCATGATTTATTTCATGGGTAATTCGGATATGGAAGTTGATCAGCGTTGTGCTCATAATCAACATAATCAAACATTGAAGCGAGGCATTGAGTGGTATGAATAAAACTGAGTAGATACTCATATTCTAAGTACGAAATACCTACTTCATTATTACTCTTATATACCTGAGCATCTACTCTATGTACTGAGTACCTACTTGGAAACATTGTATCTCCCCGAACACAAACTGAACATCTACGCGTTTTGTGAGCATCTAGAATCTAATAATCTAGAAATGAGCATCGGCGTGGCAAATAACTGAGCTGTCTGTAAAGTAGCTTAGAAAACCAGTAGGATCGTTGTAAGAGTGAATTTTAACTAAACATGGTGATTTTCATGAATGTGGAACGTCGTCAAAAGGTGCATTCAGTTTGAAAAACACATTAGGAGCAGGAATATCGAAAACTTTTCATGTAATTAACTTTTATTTATTCATAAATTGTGCAGTGCGTTTTTTCTAACACTGGCCATAGAGATTCCCATCTCAAGGTGTCTACCCCATACTAACTTATATTTTGGTGACTCGATTTTTGCCTTGATGGTTGAACACTGTCACTGTTGTCTTTTTTTGTTGTATCGAGATGCTACTTGAGCATCAACTGTTACTTACTGAAGTATTAGTATCATCTAGAAAAACTAGAAATATTTTGATTTGATATTCGAGTAGATACTTCGTATTTCGAGTATGAGCATCTACTGAGTTTTATTTATATCAACCATTGTCAAAAAATTGATCGAACGTTGTTTCGACAGAACTTCCTTCGCACCAAAAGTATAATGAAACATATTCAGCATTTTCGAGTTGAGTCTTTTCTTCACACAATTTTGTGATGACCTAATCAACATTTACTATCAACACGTTGATATACCACCTTGGATTGGTGCAGTGTAATACTAAAAATAACTGTATTGTAGTCCCAAAATTATCTGCGAAAATCGAGTGAGCAATTCCATCAATTTTTTGGGGGGAATAAATAAATATTCTTAACAATTTACCATGCTTACAATAACTTTAAAACGTCTGCAAGATCTCAAAGTATTCATTTTTGCAACTCTTGAGTTATTCACTAAAATAAATTGACTGATCCATATATTTTTTTGAGTCACTGTAAAAGCAAATCTAAAAAATATGAATGCAGTGATAAATTACGAAAATATACTGATGATATTTTCCACATTTTAGATAGGATTTATTCGGCAAAACCTTGAGATGACGTCTTCAAGTTTTTGGGCTTGATAAACAGATATATTTTGATTGAAAACCGACCATGTCAAACAGTAACTTCAAAACGTCTGCAATATTTCAAAATTCAGTTTTGCAATTCTTGATTCAATCAATAAAATAAATTGACTCAGTGATTAATTTTTTTGAGACACCCCCTATAAGCAAAACTAAAAAATATGAATGGAATGATAAATCACAAGTATAGTCCCATCCTATTTTGGACATTTTAGATAGGATTCATTTGGCAAAATTTTGGGCTGACGTCATCAATTTTTTGGAGGGGATAAGTAAATATATTTTGAATAAAAATTTATTATGCTTATCATATGTTTAAAACATCTGCAAGATTTCAAAGCATTCGATTTTGCAGATTCAAAATTAAATTGTAGGTGAAACGGAGTTCACGGGGTCAGCTAGTTACAAATATGTACAAGGGATCTAACTAACTAAAACACATCAATATAAACACAATATATGTATATCAAGAATAACTATGGAATTGAAAGAGACGGGTTACTCTCATCAGTTAGGAAATCAATGTAGTTTATAACATGACCTGCATTTCAAATATGCTTTCAGTCTAGGCTTACAGCGGATAAGTGGAATCTCTTTCAATTCCAACGTTAAAGCATTATAAAATTTGATACCATGATACGCAAAAGCGGTTCTAGAACAAAACATCGAAAGATTGAAAAATTGAAAAAACAAAAAAAAAATCCAAACAAAAAAAATTTTGTTCAACCAATTTTCTTTGTTCCAGTCGCCGTCGTCGTGGCTTTTTTCATCTGCTGGGCCCCTTTCCACGCCCAGCGCCTCTACGCCCTCTACTCCACCTCCTCGAAGCACGACACCGACACCCACACCCTCTACCTGAAAATCTACGAGATCGTCACGTACATAAGCGGCGTCCTCTACTACATGTCTGCAACGATAAATCCAATTCTGTACAACATAATGTCTGTGAAGTTTCGCGAAGCTTTCAAGGTGAGCTTTTATTGCACAATTGGATTAAAGTCACTTTCACCAGACTTTCGCACCGAACAAACACCAAGCAATCGCCGGCTTCTTACCGACGATGACGCTTTTATTAAACTTCGCCAATGTTGATACTGTTTTCTTTGGCTCGGTGGCGCTAATGGAGTTTGCTTTAGTTTAGCCAAAGCAAATTATGACTAGTCCAGTGGGTCCAAAAATAGGTTTGTAAGTTTAAGAGCGACCCGATGAGGCGTTAAGAAAGTTCGAAGTAGAGAGAAGGCGAAAGTTTTCCCGAGATGAAAGCGAAGTTTTCACTCTGAAATTTAAATTTGTCTTCGACTGGTTAACTTTTATTAACTCCCACCAAAAAAATTCAATTGAAATTAATAATTAGAGTTCGTTATAAAATTTAACACCGTGGGCGTAAATAAAGTGCCATTAGGCCATCACTGTAAAAAATTTTTGGGGTAATTTTACTTCCACGGGTATCTTTACAAAATAATGTAAAATCACATTTTAGGGTAAAATGAAAAGTACCACTCGGGTGTAAATTTACTTTCCAAGGTAAAATTACATTTCAGGGTAAAATGGAAAGTACCACTCGCGTGTAAATTTACTTTACAAGATAAAATTACCCACTCCGTTCTACCTTTTAGGGTAAACTTATTACCTGTGCATGATGTAATTTTACTCGGATTTAAATATTTAATTTTGACTGGTTAATTTTTATAATTTAGGAAAATTATATAAAATATCATTATATTGTACAGAAAAAAACTGTAAAAAAACAAAACTTACATAACACAGAATGAGAAAAGTTCTGCATTTGGCCCACACTAAAAATTATAAAATGGCAAAATCCGGTTCCTGTTAAATAGCAGAATAGACCGTGCAATGTAATTAGTTCATTTTTAGCACTCTTTAATGTCATATGTTTTAAGGCTATAAAGAACAACACTTATGATGTTATCTTATGACCAAATTATAGAACAGTTAATAGTTTTAATGTTTTTGTTATTGTTTTTCATTTTTTAACTGTTTTAATGTTTATGATACTATAGATTTTATATTTTTATATTTACATAGAATTGGTACCAAAACATATCTATATTTAAATTTTAAAACTTATAAATGAGAAATAAAACGTATGTAATCAAATAAACTTGTTTATATATATATATATATTAGGGTGATTCAAAAAAAAAAAATAATTTTTTTTTTCGTGTCAAAGAGGTTCAAAAGTTTCTTTTCAACGTAAAAAAATACCAGTTAAAAGTTGAGCTCTTAATATTAATATTAAGACCGTCCGCATCGCGTTTTTCTATTTCCCATAAGAATAACATGGGAAAATTTTTGTTTGCACCTTCTGATATTTATTGCTAGCCCGTCGTGTGTCGTGAAAAAAATTCAATCACATATTTTTATAGAGAATTGAACGCTCTACAAAAAGTGTCTCCTATGATTTTGCGAGAAACCTGACTATGATTTTTTAACCCACTGATGCTGAAAATGTTCGGAAAGAGTTTTACTGGCCTTATTATAGCATAAAATTATAAACAATTACTGTTTAAAAAACTAAATTTAAAATGTGTATAAATTTTTGTGGTGATTTATTCCAATAAGACCATCAAATTTATTGTAATGCATCAAAAACGTCAAAATTTGGATAAATTTAACTTTAGCCTAAAATAACTCTTCAACTATCAGATTTCTCGCACAATCATAGGAGACACTTTTTGTAGAGCGTTCAATTCTCTATAAAAATATGTGATTGAATTTTTTTCACGACACACGACGGGCTAGCAATAAAAATCAGAAGGTGCAAACAAAAATTTTCCCATGTTATTCTTATGGGAAATAGAAAAACGCGATGCGGACGGTCTTAATATTAATATTAAGAGCTCAAATTTTAACTGGTATTTTTTTACGTTGAAAAGAAACTTTTGAACCTCTTTGCACGAAAAAAAAAAATTATTATTTTTTTTTGAATCACCCTAATATATATATATATGTAGTTCATTAAAACAGTAACACTAATTTTATACTACGAAATAATTCTACATAAATTTTAATTAACAGTATAACAGCACTATATCAGAGTAATTTTTTTAACAATATCTAGAATTTTTTACTCTGTATTCATCAAAGTCATCTGAAATAATAAAAATGTTCACCCTTAGAACCTTCTTAAATCTTCATGCATTTATACATTACCAATATGATCTTTAAATTCTGTCACGTAATTTTTTTATAAGTGACAAAAGTTTCATCTGAGATGTTTTCCTTGTACTCTTTGTGTCCTACTCGGGTTGAATTTTAAAAAAATACGTTTGCATAAATTCTAAAGTATGTGATAATCCTTGGGGATAAGCGAGATTAAAAGTATAATATATTGCAAACATTTGCTGTATGGCATGCGTCAGTGTATCTGTTCCATTATTAGTTTTTTGGTTTACCACAATTACGTGGTATTTCATATTGATTTGAGTTTCTAAAATTAGATTTTAGATAGTACTACTATACGCCATGGAAACATAATGATTACCGCTTCCCACTGCAGCAATCCACGGAGCACTGTTATGATTCTTGGGTAAAATTCCGTAGGTGTCGTCGTTCTAAAAGAAAAATTTGTAATTTTGATTTTTGATATACTCACAAACTTACCTCAGGTATCTGCGCATACAACAAATTTAAACTTTCAGTAAAAAACTTTGAAATAACTTGTAAAACGCAGATTAGTTTTGCATCCTCTGCTTCTGGAATGTCTGTAATGTACTTTTTCTTTACCACAAGTTGTATAATATTTTCGGCCTTTTTGATCATGGCTTTACTTAATTCGTTAATATCTTTATCCATTAATTTGTTAAAATGCCAATAAATACCCGATTGACAAAGGAGAATAGGCCAATGTTTCATTATATTGACTATTGATGGTGGATCCTCTTGGTTTAAATATCTTCTCTGAGCCGAATAGGTGAGATATAATAACTTAAGAGTGTCAGCAGAAAATTCCACTTCACACGTTTTGGTCTGTAATAACTGTTGCGCCGTTTCTAAGGAATTTAAATCTGAATCATTTGATGGGACTGGAGGATCCCAAAAACTGCATCCTGCTTTTGATGACAACATATTTACTTTTTCTTAGACAAAGGAATGTTTATTTTGTCGAAATCGCCGACTCGTTTATTTGAAGTTCGATTCAAATACTTAATTCTATCTTGCAATTTAAAAAATACTCCATGATAACCTTCTCCAATAAGAACACCGTCGTCGTCTCGATCTTCAAACGTACCTGGAAATTTTTTACACATTTCTTGTGCAATGTTTTTCAAATACTTTGCTGGTATCTGAAGTTCTTTCGATCTAATTTCCTCTGCTACTACATGAATCACTTCCTTAACAACTTTTGGATCTCTTTTTTTGTTATCGAGCACCTTAGTTCAAAAAATACTAACTTTTTCCCAGGGAATCACAAAATTTCTCCAGGTATTTTTAAAATTTTCTTCCTTGTTATGTTTCTCTTCTGAGTTCATTATATTTCCTAGATTAATACTTGCATTTCCTAAATCAGGATATATCATAGACCCATCACTACTGCAAGTACTTAAACTGTCAACTGATTTCCAGTTTTGATTTGGTTCTAATAAAATAAATGTTTCTGTAGCTAAAGCTTTTAGGACTTCATCATCATCAACATATTTGCCATCTGTTTCCAAAACTAATTTTGAACCGTTTAGGTAAGTTCATTTTCTCCGAAGCTTGAAAAATGTTAATTCTGTGATACGGTGTGTGTAATAGTGTAATACTTCATTTTACCTACCTTTCAAGACCAGTGTTTCATAACGATTATTTTCTTCATCTGGGATATTAATAAAAATTTTGATTGTTCGCGACAAATTCCAAATTTTAAATAGGACCATGATTAAGGAAAAGTTCTTCATTTATCCATCATAGTCCATGAAAAAAAAAAAAATATACATAAATAAATATAATATTGTCAACTATACAAACATTCATTTACTTATTAAACATTTTGCAGATAGTTTAAGAGCTGTTATATTAAATTAATGATGCAGACTTTAAGAAATAACAAATAATTTTTATTAGTAAAACAGTAAAAAACTTATTTTAATGAAATTGTAAAGAATTTAAGGGATTAAAACGCTAAAACAAGTTATATTACTGTTAAACAAGAGTTTAATTGTTAAAGTAACTAAATATTATACAAAAATGAAAAGTAAAATAAAATTTTCTTTTACCAGATATATATTTTGAAGTTAAATTACGTTTTTGGACTCCCTGAACAACTCAATACCTATTCAGTCTTCTATAAATTTGTAAAGGTACTGATTTGAAGCAAAATAATTTTTTATTTTCGAATTGAAAGATCATTAGAGGTTCATAAGTCAATAAATCCTTAAAATGACTACCGATAATTTCAGAATTATTGGATGTGGTGTTATTCCCACTATCATATACACCTTTAGTTTTGTCAAAACAAATGGTAACTTTATACCCAATGAAATAAAGGTCAGTATACGTACTCGTACTAGTTACCAATATATATTTAATTACTTCCCGAGCGTAAGCAAAGAAAGTATTGTAATCGAGTCCGTCGGCCGACTCTCTACTTTTACGTTTTCTCGATCTTTCATGACCCCTAGAAGACGAAGAAATAGGTCTCCCATTTCCGTCTGTCTGTCCGTCTGTCCGTCTGTCCGTCTGTCCGTCCGTTTGTCCGTCTGTCTGCCGTCCCGGATTTTTATTAGACAGATTATCTCCGAAAGTACTGGACCTATTGTTGTGAAATTTTGTAGTTATATTAGGAATATCATGTAGATGGTAAAACGCTAACCAAAATTTGTCTAATCATCCCCACCACTAATGTGATGACGTCACTTCAAAATTGTACATAGTAAATGGATTTTAAATTGTATAAAATAATATAGTCCTAAACATGTAGTTTACGACTCCGAATTCAGTTTTTACCCGAAACTTCCAGATTTTTGGAAAAAAAATCAAAATTATAAAACAACATTTTGCAATTTAATTTTGAATCTGCTAATCCGAATGTTTTGAAATGTTGCAGATGTTTTAAGGCTATAAAGAGCATTATAAATCTTTACTCAAAATATATTTGGTTATCCCCTCCAAAAACTTGATGACGTCAGCTCAAAAGTTTGCCAAATAAATCCTATGTAAAATGTACAAAATATGATGTGTCTGTGCTTGTGATATATCACTCCATTCATATTTCTTGGATTTGCATATACAGGGTGACTCAAAAAAATTAATGAATGCGTAAATTTATTTTACTGATTTACTCAGGAACTACAAAACCGAATGCTTTGAAATCTTGAAGGTGTTTTAAAGTTATCATAAGCATGGTAAGTTTTTGATCAAAATGTATTTGCTCATCCCCCCTAAAAAATTTATGACGTCACCACAAAATTTTGCTAAATAAATCCTATCTAAAATGTACAAAGTATGATGGGTCTTTTCTTGTTAATTATCATTCCATTCATAGTTTTTGGATTTGCATATACAGGGTGACCCAAAAAAAAATGAATGGGTAAATGTATTTTATTGATTTAATCAGGAACTCCAGAACCGAATGTTTTGAAAATCTTGCAAATGTTTTAAGGTTATAAAGAGCATAATAAATTTTTAGTCAAAATATATTTGGTTATCTTCTACAAAAAACTGATGACGTCAGCTCAAAAGTTTGACGAATAAATCCTATCTAGAATATACAAAATATGATGAGTCTGTACTTGTAATTTATCATTCCATTCATATTTTTTGAATTTGCAAATACCGGGTGACTCAAAAAAAATAATAAAATCTACTGCGAAAAAAAAACATAATAGACATGCAGTCGTCACGTTTTCGACAGCGAGGGAAGTACTGTCTAAACTCTTTAGACCAATTTTTTTTACACAAATTGTAGTCACTGTATTCGTTTTCACTACAACAAATGTACATATCGGCTGTATAAGTAGTACCTCTAAATATTGCTTTCTGACATATTAAAGGATCTGTAAAAGTGCAGAACTTGGACAAATAAGATAAAAATATTTGGTCTATTGCTTGAGGTACGTATCTAGTGGCTTTGTCAGATATAACCTTATCTATAAATAATGTGTTTAGTGTGGCATGAAACGCTTGTAAAAGCTGATGCTTTTCAGAAAGTGATCTCAAAATATTTTTAAAATTTGGACAGTGGCGTAAAATATTTTTAAAGTAACGATATTTACTTTCATACCTTAGCGTCCAAAAATTTTTCATTGGGCCAAATTTTCTTATTAAATATGGATAATGAGATAAAAAGTGGTGCTTAGGTCGCAGCGGAACGGTAGGAAACACTTCTGTTCTTAAACTGATATAATCATTTATCAAGGTTTTCAAATAAGATATTTGAGATATTGATATTACTGGAGCTAGCAGAATGCAGTTAATTTCTCTAAGAATTAATATTAACCGCCATGAAGGTTCATCTATTTCTATATCGCATAAAGCAAACGAAAGAATTTGTAGAAAACGTAAATTTTCTGTTGCATTGCCAGGAAGCTTATCGATTTTTTTTAAAAGGGGCACCTTTTCGTACTTTGTTTCTTGAACCAAACGTAATTTTTGTAATTTTGTATTCAACGAATCGTAAGTAAAATATTTTGTTTTAACTAAGTGGGCTATACATAACATTACATCGTATTCAACCACCCCTTCAAATATATCATGTGCCAAACATGGTGGCAACTTTGGGTTACAAACATGAAAATACTTGCTTTCTAGAGATGTACCGACTGTAGGTCTAGCCGACTAACCGACTAGCCGATTGTTCGGCCAGTAAAAACCGACTAGTCGGCCGACTGTTCGGCTTTGCTAAAACCGGTTTATAAATGCGACAGACAGTGTGTTTTTTTTTCTATTTCTCTGATTATCTTAAAAATTTGTTTCATTTTAATAAAAGGAATAACTAAAGTTCCTTTGTTTTCCCAAAAATGTGTTAAATTTGTTTGGATAATTTTAACATTTAATTTTTTTAGTAACTGAGTACAAAAATAAAGAATAACACAATTTAGGGCCAGTTTATACAATATTTTAACTGAGATTAAGTTGATCGCGCATTTAACAAGGCCATTAGCGACGTCTGATTGGCGTAGAGTCGGTCACATGGTACTTTAACGTGGGGTTAAAAATTAAATCGCAATTAAATATTTAATTGAGGTTCTGTAAACCAGGTTTAATTGTTTTATATAGTATTTTAATTTTAATAAAAAAAAGCCGACCGATCGGCTGTTTAGCCGACTAGTCGCCGACTGCAGCCGACGATGAAAACGGCCGAATAGTCGGCTTATCCGACCGGTCGGCCACTAGTCGGTACATCCCTATTGCTTTCATTTAAAATTGATGAAGACTTAATTCCGTTGGCTGAATTTTGCATAACCAATGCTTCAGTTGCATCTTCTTCATACGAGTTCACAGTTCTTAAAACAGAAGTAGAAATTAAGTTACCAGAGTGAGCCAAACAAAAACTACAAAAATTACTATTTGTATTAAAATTTTCAACGAAACCCCCAATTTGATGAGATGCTAATTATCTCCTACCACAGCAATAAGTGTTCCTTTAAAGAATGTATTATGAATCAAGAGTCCTTCTGTTTCTAGCAAACGAATATCGGCCATAATTACTTTAAAAATTTCAGGAAAACCATATTCTTTAATATCACTTTCTAAACATAAAGCCACAAGCTGAATGTGATCTACTTTGGTTCTATTAAAAGGTGGTATATTCCCTAATGTCATGTACACACCTACTATTTTGTGAATATTTCTTGAAGAGCCGAGAGGATTGCATAACTCAAACGCATCTTGATAGAGAATTAATTGTAAAGAATTAGGATTTTTTTAAAATAAATCTATATTGTCAAAGCATTCACCATCTATAAAATCGGTATATATACGAACCTTTGTCACATTTTTTCTGTTTAAGAATCTGTTCATAAATATGTTCATTATTTAGTAATACTTTAATAGTTTCTAATATTGGAATGTACACAAAAAAACTTTGTTTCTTATCTTTTTTGTTTAAAGGTATGTTAAGTGGTGTAACAAATTTAAAATTATTTTTATAATATTTTCTTCTAACATACGGAGACCTTAGCAAACCATTTTTAGAATTGTGTCCTTTCTAAAACAAATTTTGAGTTTTTATTGCAACTAAAATATCTTGATTTTGTTCATTAAGAATATTATATATATGTTCTAGTGTTATATTATGAATATCATATATTCCGTCAATTATTGTCTGCAAAGCCACATTAGATAGAAAATGTTTTAACTGTAGAGTGTGGTAAGTTTGAGCAAGAGAGTAAATATAAGAATCATCAAAATTTTTGAAGGTAATTTTTTGATAAACAGTGTATCATCCATTGTGGAAGAATCACTATTTTCAAAATGAGCCTCAAGAGATTTGTCACTTTGACTGAGAGAAACATTGTTTTGTTTTACTATATTTTGACAAATAAAATGTATTCTATAAAAATGTGACTTTATACTAGAAATAGTTTTAAATTTATTATCCGGTCTGGGACATTTTTGGAAAGGACATTTTACAACAAAGCCACTTTTTATGTGTTGATACATATGTGAAAGCATGCATTTACTATCTTGTGTCCTAAATGAACACTGCTCTAGATTGCACATCATCATGTAAGATTTTGATGAATTTTTCTTAAAATGGTTTCTGTACAGATGAGCTTTGAAGCTATTGTATCTACTATACTCGCGTTTGCATTGGTGATATTTACAATAAAACCTTGCACCTTTTGCGTTCCTGTGTAGATATTGATGAAAATTGTAAGTTATTATAGAAAGTAACTCCTTTCTACAAAGTGCGCAAGGATACACACAATTCATGCAAATGTATCGAAATATTGGTCACGTATGCATGCGATAACTTCAAAACGTACGGTACAATTACCCAGAGTTGAGTAATTTTAAAACTCATTGTAGTAAATTTACACCAAATAAGATGCAATATTGCATGAAAGTGTAGTATACCCCTAAAAATAGGGTATAAATACACAAAGACGAAAAAATACCTCCACAAAAAGTAAATTTACACATAATAAGGAGTTAAATTTGTTTTACCCCAAAATTAAGGTAAAATCACTCATTTAATATAGGTAATTATTACATTTACGTGCGGTAAAATTACATTTTTTTTTACAGTGGCACCATAAAACCCCTATTAACTACCAAAACGCGTAAATTTAATAGGTTAATCGATCGTTGACGCACGAACTAAACTCAATGGGACCCAGCGGTGCCCCCTGCCTAATTTTTGTTCCGCCAACTGTCACACACAACTCCTATTTCCCCTATGCTAAGTTCGTCTCGGGCCGTCAGTCATCGTAGCCTAAAGCATTTCTAGTCAATCTTTTGCAGGAGACGTTTTCCCGTTGCTGCTGCTTCTACCACTTCAAAGCCAGCCGACCACAAAGATCCTACTCAGTTCTCTCTCGTTCTGCTCAACGCGGCCCTGATTCTACAGACTCCGGGAGGGACGACCCTACTGTACACTCGCACACCTCCATTACTCAGAAAACTTCGATCGACTCGTTCACTGGGCTCAATAACGGAATGAGGAGGTAAGGAAACTTCTGACAACTTGTTGCGGGGCTGTGGCACTTCATTAAAAAGGGCTTAGGACAATTAGGTAGAACTGCGATGAGAGATGAAGTTTAATTATCTGGGGCCGTAACAGGTTTTGCGTAGCAGCTGTCTAAGGGGATTAAGAGGTTATTAAGTCCAACTTTCAGTATACTTTTCTGATCCGATATTTTTTTTTAACTTTTCAACTAGTCAGTAAAGAACTTTTTTGAAAAATTCGCCAAAGGAGATTTTTATAAACCCCGCCCACCCGCCCCCTTTTGATTCTATTGATTTTTATTAATATTATTAATTAATGACAACTTTCACATTCTGTGAAGTTATGAGTAAACTCTTAGATAAGTTGAACGGCAAATTATGTGATATAATAATCGGTGGTGACTTCAATTTCCACTTTGAAATTACTAATTGTAACACTACAGTACAAATTAAGGACTTATTCAAGTCATATGGACTATATCCAATAGTCAAATTTCCTACAAGGAAAAAAGCTACATTAGACAACATATTTACCAATATACCTGAAAAAAACATAGTTACCAGCCCTCTTGATCTAGTGCTTTCTGATCACCAAGGTATATACATGGAAGTAAACATGTCATGAGCAGTAAAAAATAATTTATGTAGTAGTAGATTTGTTAGGCCTATAACCAATTATGGTAAAATTGTTTTTTATAATCTAATGGAAAATATCTCCTGGGATTTTATTGACTCAAACACACTTGCAGATGAGAACTTTTTAGACTTTATAACCATCATTACTGATAATCTTCGTATTGCCTTCCCTGAGAAATTAATTCATAGTCCAGATCCCGTAAATGCCAGAACCAAAACCAAATGGTTCACTGTAGATCTTCAAAACATGCGTGAAACACTAAATCTGCTAAAAGAGGCTTATAACCTAAGACAAACCTCTGAGTTGAAAATTACTTTCAAAGATTACAAACAAAAATATAGAGCAGCAATAAAAAATGCAAAAATTACTTTCAATGATAACTACATTAAAACAGCTAAAAACAACCCCAAAGCCATGTGGCAGGTCATTAATCAATTTAGGCAAAGCAATGGAAACAATCACCCTCCCTGTTCATCTGATGAGTTGAATGCATTCTTTATAAATGCTGTACAAAACCTAGTTGACTCCATAAATCTGTCTTCAAAGAATCCCATACATGTAATGCAAACAAATCGAACTACCACGGTGTCGAACACTTTCTCATTTCGAGAAGTCACGTTAATCGAAGTACGTGACTGTATTGACAACTTAAAAAACTCCAGAAGTAGGGATTTATATGAATTAAATACCGACTTAATAAAATCGATCAAGAACATAATAATTAGTCCATTAACAAAGCTAATAAATAAATGCATTCAGAATAATATGTTTCCCCAATGTCTAAAGCAATCTGTAATAATTCCTATATATAAAAAAGGAAATACAAGTGACAAAAATAACTATCGCCCCATATCTTTGTTGCCAGTACTCTCTAAAGTTTTCGAGAAGCTGCTTTTACAACAAATCTTGGTCTACCTTGAAAAGAATAATATCCTCTCTGAGCACCAATTTGGTTTCCGAAAAAATTCATCTGCTATATCTGGAGTAATAAACTTTATCGAACAAATAATAAATTGCTTTGAAAAGGGAGCCTACTATCAAGCTCTATTTCTAGACCTAAGCAAGGCCTTTGACACAATTTCACACCAAATATTAATGGAAAAACTGAAAATATATAATTTTGATTTCTGTAGTATTACGTTGATAAAGTCCTATCTACATGATCGCTCTCAAAGGGTTAAGCTTAATGGCATTCTTTCGCAACCGTTAACAGTCCGACATGGGGTCCCACAAGGATCTATTCTAGGTCCATTGCTATTTTTGTTGTATATAAATGACCTCCCATATGCGATCCCTACAATGGACAAAACTTTATATGCAGATGACACCTCAGTGGGGCAGGCTGACTCAGATCTAAATGTGCTGCAAGAATTGACACGCACATCATACAAAAGAATTGAGGAATGGATGGAGGCAAATAAACTGCATCTTAATAAAGCCAAAACCGTGGAAATGATTTTTTCTCTCAAACAAATAAACACAGATACAACAGATTTCACAAAATTTTTGGGGGTCCACATTGATAGTACTCTGTCCTGGCACCACCAAATTGATGATCTATGCAAGAAATTATGTAAAAACATCTATTTACTACGTAATCTAACGCGCTGTGTATCCATAGACGTCATAAAAATAGCTTATTTCGCGACCTTCCAATCACATGTGGAATACTCGATAATCCTGTGGGGCCATACAGGGCTATCAGAGCGGGTTTTCAGACTCCAGCGAAGGGTAATCAGAATTATATCAAACCTGAGATATCGCGACGACTGCAAAGAACATTTTAAATTATTGAATCTCCTGACTGTACCCTGTCTGTTCATATACAAATGTTTAGATTATTTTGTAAAAAATCGTAAGAAATTTAAAACATTAAATTCCTATCACAACTACTCTACAAGAGGAAATGATATTTGTCTACGTGGTTTTAGACTGACCAGATCTAGATTAGGCTTTAATTACTATTGTGTTAAATGTTACAATGTAATACCAATCAATATTAGGAATCTTAGTCCTAAGTTGTTCTTAAAAAGGATTAAAGCACATCTAATTGAAAATGCCTTTTATAATATAGAGGAATACTTAACAACTAAGTTTTAAATGAAATGGATTTTATTTCAAAATTACTGATTACCTTTGTTACCATGTAGGTATCTCTTTATTTTGTTATGTTAAGTTGTGTAATCCATGTATTTCGTTATTTTGTTATGCTAAGTTGTGTAATGACTTGTGTAAATATTTTTTATATTTTGGCACGAATAAATCTTATCTTATCTTATCTTATCTTATCTTATCTTTATTATCTTATTAGATCTTTGACAAGTCTGTTCTTTCTGTAGAGTCTTATAAGAAATAGCCCCGCCCACCCACCCCTCTCTTTAATCTAACGACCACCCCTAATATTGTTTATTACCTTATTAGAAACTTAGGCAAATCTGTTAAACTGTTAGTGTAAAATTTTGCAGTTTTACGTCTTTGTTTAAATTCGATTTTTAATTTTTCAGTTTTTCATTGTTTCAATATTACCATTTTCAATTTTTGAATATTTTCCTCTCTGCTTTTCAGTTTTTCGATTTTTCAGTATCTTAACTTTTTTAATTTTTCAGTTTTCCATTTTAAAAATGTTTCTATTTTTTTTCATTTTACAGTTACTGACGTCTCAATTTTCCAATTTTGTAATTTTTCGATTTTTCATTTCTTTATTTGTCGAATTTTATTTTTCATTTTTCGACTTTTTGATCTTTCAAGATGTCAGTTTGAATATTTTTTTCCTTTTGAAAATTTTCCTCTATTTTTTCCTATTTTCAGTGTTATTAAAGCTCCTCTCACTCATGCAAGCTCCATCTTTTTTTTTAATTTTTCCATAATTTAATGTCACCATTTTTCGTATTTTTTTTAATTTTCCAATTTTTAGTTTTTCGAATTTTTAATTTTCCGAATTTTGATTTTGCATTTTTTTAAATTTTTGATTATTCAATGTTTTGTTTATTAATTATTCGACTTTTCAAGTTTTGATTTTTTATTTTAGTAACTTTTCGAATATTCATTACATTATTTGTCGAATTTTATTTTTCATTTTTCGACTTTTTGATATTTCAAGATTTCAGTTTCAATATTTTTTTTCCTTTTGTTGAAAAACATTAACGATTGAGGAAACGAAAAATTGAAAATAAAAAAAATTCAAAATAAAATTTGATTCCAACAGTTTTCACTTCATTATTCTTCGGTTCTTTGTTTCTTCAGTTTATGGATATTTGAATTTCTAGATTTTTTGATTTTTCAACAATTTTGAAAATTTTCCTCTATTTTTTTCAATTTTTAGCTTTTTCAACTTTAACATTTTTCTATTTTCAGTGTTATTGAAGCTCCTCTCACTCATGCAGGCTCTATCTTTTTTTTTAATTCTTCCATAATTTAATGTTGCCATTTTTCGTCTTTTTTTAAGTTTCCAATTTTTAGTTTTTCGAATTTTTAATTTCCCAAATTTTAATTTTGCAATTTTTCAATTTTTTAATTTTTCAATCTTTAGTTTTATAATTATAATTATTCGACTTCACAAGTTTTGATTTTTCATTTTACTGATTTTTCGAATTTTCAATATTATAATTTTGTGATTTCTCGATTTTTCGATTATCCGATTTTTCAATTTTTTTCTTTGTCAAATTCGATTTTTCGGTCTTTCAAGATGTTAGTCTGAAAGAATTTGTTCCTTTTGTTGAAAACTTGATGCATTAAAAATCGTACCAACGAAAAATTGAAAATCCAAAAATTGCAAAATATAATTGAAAGTCCAACAGTTTTCAATTTAATATTTTTCAGTTCTTCGGCTTTTCAATTTTTGGATATTTTATATTTTAATTTACAGACTTTTTTTGATTCGTCAACAATTTAGCAAATTTTGCTCCATTAAAATCTTTAGATTTTCCAATTTTAAAATTTATCTACTTTTAATGTTAATGAAGCTCCTCCCACTCGTGCAGACTCCACAGTTTTTTTATTTTTCCATAATTCAGTGTTATAATTTTTGGTCTTTTTTCCAATTTTTAGTTTTTTAATTATTCAATGTTTCGTTTATTAATTATTCGACTTTTCAAGTTTTGATTTGTATTTTACTAATTTTTCGAATTTTTATTTCTTTATTTGTCGAAATTTATTCTTCAATTTTCGATTTTTTGATCTTTCAAGATGTCAGTTTGAATATTTTTTTTCCTTTTGTTGAAAAACATTAGACTGAGGAAACGAAAAATTGAAAATAAAAAAATTCAAAATAAAATTTGATTCCAACAGTTTTCACTTCATTATTTTTCGGTTCTTTGTTTCTTCAGTTTATGGTATTTGAATTTCTAGATTTTTTTTGATTTT